CTGCATGGTTTGGTTGACTGATTAATTAAATACTTTGTTGTTAGTCATAGCAGCAGGTTGGATTCTGCACTTCAATTATAGTAACTACGATTTTTTTTTTCATAGCTTTTTCATCATATCATTCAACACTTTGATGGTGATAACAGCAATAAAGGACAGCCTTATTCAACCGCTGTTACACATTCTGCAAATTTTATTGAAGAAACCCCATGTCCGCTGACAATCATATTCCCAATTTTTTAAAAAGAAATTTAATTAAGGAGTAAAATAAACAATGAATCTTTCTCGCACACCTATTTGCTTTGTTATTATCAAAAAGTGAATACGTAGTGGGAATGGTTTCGTAACTACTCAGCTTGACTTCCCTTGTCCAAGCTAATGCTTACCATTCTATTGCTCTATATAAGCTTCAGCAGTCAAACCATATGAATATTCATATTACAGTCTCGTATATCCTTATAAAACAAGCTTATTTCAAATTTCAAAGTTAAAATGTCAACCACTATTGATGTCCCAGAATCAAGCTATGCTGCTAAAGGAAAAGTAGTTTTAGGTGCAGCCCCAAGGCCAGGAGGATGGAAAAAGGGGTAGCCATAATGGATTTCATTCTAAGGTTAGGTGCTATTGGGGCTGCTCTTGGTGCTGCTGCCACTATGGGAACAAGTGATCAAACTCTCCCTTTCTTCACTCAGTTCTTCCAGTTTGAAGCTAGCTATGATAGCTTTACTACTTTCCAGTATGTAACCTTCAAAATTCTACTTTCTATTATGACTCTACATGACATTAGGGTTTGTTTAGTTTTTTATAAAATGTTTTATATGTATATATTTCTGTTTATTTCATTTTGTTTCTTGTTTTTAAACTAGAATGAAATTAAGGGGATAGTTTTGTTATTCGAAGTAAAAATTAAATTGAAACAAAAACGTGTTTTGAAACCAAAGAATCCCTTACTTTCTTTAGATTTTAAAAATATATTGTTTTTGCTATTTTCACATATCATTAAAAAATATAACCTTATTTTTAAATTATTTCCAATTTTAAAAAATTCGTATAGGATTTTTTTTGTTGCTTTCAGTCCTATTCACTGAAATGAGAAACTGAATGTTTAACAAAATGCAGATTTTTTGTTATTACAATGGCTTTAGTGGGTGGCTATCTGGTCCTTTCCTTACCCTTCTCAATTGTAGCCATCATACGCCCCCATGCAGTTGGACCAAGGCTTTTCTTGATCATTTTAGACACTGTAAGTTCTTTAACACTTCAATTATATTCACTCTCATTCAATAACCCTATATGATTAGCAAGACCCTTTATTTTCCCATCGATAATTTATCCACAAGAGGCCGTAATTAATTCAGTAGAAGAGATTTTGCTGGCTAAGAACCAATTAATACAACTCTTAAGTTTTTATGATATTGCAGGTGTTTCTTACTCTAGCGACTGCTAGTGGTGCTTCAGCTGCAGCCATAGTTTATTTGGCACACAATGGCAATCAGGACTCAAATTGGCTTGCCATATGCAATCAATTTGGGGATTTCTGTGCACAGACCAGTACAGCAGTGGTGGCATCGTTCATAGCTGTGGTTATATTTGTGTTGTTGATTGTGATGTCTGCCTTGGCTATTGGGAAACATTGAGAATTAAGATAGATTCAGAGGCTTATGTTACCTGTATTGTTATTACGTTGTGCATGGTAGTTCTGTTTTCCCAGTCTTTCTCAGGTTCAGTTTTCCATGAAGTCAATTGAATCGTGTCAATTTGATTCCTTGTATTGATTTGGGAAGATGTTGCTATGGAATATTAAATTACACCTCCCCTTATGATCTTATACATACGAAACTTTAATCACTTCACAAGAATTATGAAATTTATGTTGAGAGTTTATTTAACTATATCTTATTTAAACATCTTTTATTTTAAAATTTGTATTTAAAAATTAAAATTCCACAACAGCCTCAAATATTTTCTTAATGTGTAACTTCTTTTAGAAATAATTTTTTAATCTATGCAATATTGTATAGGATAACAAGTTATATATAATAAAATTTATTAAAAAATTTATTATTTAATAATATTAACACAGTGAATTGAATTGTATTAAGTAATTTTTAGTAAAAGCTTACCACATATAATTTTTTTTTTATCATACATAATATTGCATAAGTTAAAAAAATTATTTTAAAAATATGGCTTAATTTAAGATTCTATTTTATAGTAATTAAAGCTTTTTAAATAAGTGTGGAAATCTATCTGTAAACACAAGTGATGAGCATAACATACAGGTAGCTTAACAAGTTTTTTTAAACTTAACATATATATAATTTTAAAACAATATAACATAAATTTAATATAGTATTAACATTTCATTTATTTAATTATTTATTCATTTAAATGAATTGATCTATTAGATATAAAGTTTTTTAATGATTTAAAATTTAACTTTTTTTTTTAACTTTCTTAAAAAGTTTTTAACTCTTGACTTGTTTAGTAAGTTTTACTTAAGTTAGATTAACGTCAAGCTTGTCTGTACATAAGTTTCAATTTCGATAATTAAGTTGGACCAATACGATCTACTTTTCTCTGAAAATGGAGTTATACGAGTCGACCAATGAGAGAGTAAGGACTTAGTTTGAGTAAAGTTCTTCAAAAAATTGATATAAATAAATAAATAAATAAATTTTTTTATAAGATAAAAGAAGTTAAAATAAAAAATTTCTAAACAAAAAAGAAGCATAAAATATTTTTAAATTATGAAGGAGGTTTTGTTCATTTTTTTTAACTCTTATAAGTATTTATTGAAAAATTTATTCAATCTGAAACTAAGTGTCTAAGTATATACAGTAGTTTAAAGTTGAATAAAATTAATTTATAATAATTATTTTTGGTCATGAATTAATTTATAATTATTAAGTGTAATTAAAACATGTACATAAATTAATTTAGATCACACACTACTATTGAAACATGTGACATGTGTTTTTCTTTTTAATTGATTTTCCGTTAACTAAACCTTGCACGATTTTTTAAATGAATTTAATAGTTATCATTATTTGTGCAAATTATCATAGGGACGTTCAATGTGAGAAAATGGAATTAATGTTTGGACGAGAGATAAAAGAAATAAATAGGAGATTGAGAAAAAAAGTAAAAATATGATGAAAAGAGTATTTTATTTCGATGTAAAGAAATAGAAGGAAAAGAAAAAAAATTCTTCTACTTATTTAGATGAATATTTATAATAATCATAAAAAATAATTTTTTTTATTATAACATTTTAAATAAAAAATATTTTTTATTTTTTTTATATTTTTATATTTACAGAAATGATTTAACAATAAAAATAAACAAAACAAAAATAAAGTAAAATTCTGCAGTCCCTCTCCTTTCCCCTCAATTTGAGTTTTTCTTAACAGTAGATTGATACAAAATTGCTTCCTCCTACTTTTTCTAAGAGCATCCAAACAAGTATGCTCTCCCCACTAAATCACTGCCCCTTAATTCTATCCACTGCAAGCAAATACACTAAATCAAACTGTGTTATATACAAATAGAATCTTAATCTCCTAGCTATTCTAATAATCGCTATAGGTATTAGACAAAAAGTAAAAGGTCAACCAACTGAATGTAAAACAAACATAACGTGGAAAATGGTTATTTGAGACTTTGTTTTGGGTCATGTACAATGGGATAAAGAAAGAAAGAGATGAAAAATAATAAAAAAGAGAAAAAGGATAAAAAATAAATGTAAGAAAACAGTGAATATAAAAAAATGTAAGAATTGAACACAATCTAACTACTTAATACATTCAATTATTAGACTTAATTAATCAATATCATTTAAGACTTTTTAAATAACCAATATATACACAACGACTTGAGTTTAATAAATGTCATTAATAACTAACTATATATGATAAATATCAACCAATTCTATGGATATTGATTTAAAAATAAAAAATATTTAAAGGTATTATTGTATTTTTTATCTTTTTTTTTTTTTTTTTATAATTTGTAGATCTTAATTCTTTAATCACCGGGTAAGTTCAATTAAAATACTTGCTTACTCCTGATTTTAAGATATGCGTACTAAATAGTAAGTGATCCAACAAAATGTCATTCATCATGAAATATATCTTGTAGGTCTCAATTAATGAATTTTGTAGTGGAAAAATAGTTTCTTGAGTTTATGTGACGTAACTTTGCCAAATAATATTAAGCATAGGATATGACAAAGAGTCCAATAAGTGTTATGGATTAGGGAGGCTACGTGGTTTAGTTGACGGATGGAATCATGAAACTTAATTTGTTAATTCTTTCATCAATGGGTTAGAGTGGCTATATACGTGGTTTTGTTAACTCATTAATTGAAGAGACTTCGTTACTTAGAATAACTGGTTGAATTTCCATTGTAGTAACTAGCTAGCTAGGATTTATTGTTTTATTACTTCCATAATAGTATAATAATCATTGTTTCACTTCATCCAAATTAAATTGATTTAACAAGTCACATATTCTTTCGGCTCAAGTCCAAATCATAACAAGTTGGAAATGAAAACCGTATGCCACAACCCTTTTTAATACAAAAAGAACTAAATATTAATTTAAATAAATAAATAAATGAAACAATATTATTTCTACCATAATTTTCTTACCCTATATTTTTTTTTCTCTTTCCATCACTTATTTATCTTGTCTCCCCTGTTTTGTTTTTTTTTCTAAGAATTTCCAGCATTGTTCAGTTAATAAATTATATATGCTTCTCTCACACCTAACATTCTCTCCACTTGCTTTGCTACGAAAAGATGACATATTTAGACACAAAATATTCATAACAACTTCGCTATTTGGCATCCCACAAAATCCTAGTTCACTTATCCAAACAAGTCTGATTCTTTCTCCCTCTATATATAAGCTTCAGTAATCAAGACATTAGCATCGTTGGGTCTCGTTAATTCATACATATATATAGTCTCGTATATAATCAATTTCCAAAGCAAAAAATGTCAACTACCATTGATGTTCCAGAATCAAGTAAAGTTGCTAAAGATAAAGCAGTAGCAATTGGACCCGCAAGACCTGGAGGATGGAAGAAAGGGGTAGCAATAATGGATTTCATTCTAAGGTTAGGTGCCATAGCAGCGTCTCTTGGTGCTGCTGCCACCATGGGAACAAGTGATCAAACACTCCCTTTCTTCACTCAGTTCTTTCAGTTTGAAGCTAGCTACGATAGCTTCTCTACTTTTCAGTTTGTAACCTTCTAAAATTCTCTAATTTCTATGTCTTAATTTGCAAAACAATTACTCTTGCCAGTTTATTATTCCCCCAAATGAGAAACGCATTAATGCTTAACAAAATGCAGGTTTTTCGTTATTACAATGTCTTTAGTGGGTGGCTACCTTGTCCTGTCCCTACCTTTATCTGTTGTAGCCATCGTTCGTCCCCATGCAGTTGGACCAAGGCTTTTCCTCATCATCCTTGACACTGTGAGCTCTCTAGATCTTTATTATTTCTCTAATATGAGTCTAGCCATAGTTCTAAGACAACAATTTTCAAAAAATAATGATATATAATATCAATTTTACTGTTTCAAATAATAGAACTTTTGTTAATAGATTTTTTTTAAAACTTTCTTAGAAAGTGTAACATTTAATAGTGTTAATACATTGAATTACATTAAATATTGTAAACTTTAGTTAAAAGTTTATTATATATAAATTTTTATTATATACAATGTTGCACTAAATAAAAAATTCATTACGTATATGATACATCATACATGGTAGAGTTACAACATTACACTATCTTTTAAACAAAGTATATATTAATAGAGGTAACTCTAATTATTAATATTTAATTTCCATTAACTTAGGGAATTTTTGGAGTGGATGTTACTAGTTATAAAGCGGCTGAATGAACTTGTGTGTGTGAATTGTGAACCCATATGGCAGGTGTTTCTTACTCTAGCGACAGCTAGTGGTGCTTCAGCTGCTTCGATAGTTTACTTAGCGCACAACGGCGATCAGGACTCGAACTGGTTAGCGATCTGCAATCAATTTGGAAACTTCTGTGCGCAGACCAGTGCAGCAGTGATCTCATCGTTCGTTGCCGTTGTTGTCTTCATATGTTTGATTGTCATGTCTGCTTTGGCTATTGCCAAGCCTTGAAAATTAATTAAGAATGTTGGTTGTGGCTTAAATTACCTGTATTATTATTGTTCATGTTTATTCTGTTTCCTAAGTTATTCTCAGGTTGTGAGGTTTTTAACTTCCTTGTATTAAAAACTCATGATGTGCCTAATTCATTACTTGTGTTGCAATTGAATATTCTTATATTTCTTCATTTTTATATTTGTTCACTTAAGGAGATAATATCTAAATTTAAAAAAAAAAAAACTATTTTTTAATATAACTTTTCCTAACATTTCTCTCATATTTATAATAAACGTATAAAATATTTAAAAATTAGATAAAAATAAAGACAAAAAATTAACAATTATTATTATCTTAATTTTTAAAAATAAAGACATAAAATTCTTTCAGATAAAAATGATATGTATTGAGAATTACATTAGATGTGTATTGAAAATTATGATGGCTGGATACATTTATAATAATATTTAAATAAAAGTTACTTTGATTATTTAATCATTACTCTTAAAATATTTGGTAGCAGTTTTTAATACTATTTATTTTTAACTTTTATTCATTTCTTCGATGTAAAAGGTTCGTCAACAAGGATTCTAATTTTACCGCTTAAAAAGAATATTTAATAATTATTATTAAATGCAACTGGACATTATAAATGATTGAAAGGTGGAAAATAAAGAGGACCATAGGCTTAAATTGAAATCTTTGCTACATGCATCAGTTATTTATTGGAATTTTCAGTGTGAGTGATAAAATTTTACAAGAAGTAAAAGGTTAAAGGGAAATCATAGAATTAAGTGATAAAATTTATAAGTTGATTCACTATCTTTAAAATATTAAACTACATTATATATGAATTTGCTTGAACAGGTAAGATTTTAGTCTTTTAAATTTTTGTAATTTTTTTTATTTAATAAATATATTTTTCTAAACAAATTTATTTATTTGTTAATTTCTAGTTAGAATACACACTTGCTCATTATAAAAGTGTAAGAAATAATTTTTTTCAATAAAATTTTACTATATTTAAATGTTTAAACTCAATCATAAAGACTAAAATTAATATTTTATATTTTTATCTTTTAGAATATAAATTTTTTGTTTATTAAAATTTTATGATATTTTTATTCAATACTCATGTTTTTTCTAAATATTTTTTTTAATGTCTAGTTAAAATATATATTTAATTTTTATAATCAACACTTATTTACAAATAAGTTCTTATAATTAAAATTTACATTTTAGTCCTCTCTACTTACCTTGGCAACCTTCTTTTCATCAGGTCCATAATATCCTTCCATATCCTACCCTTCTTTTAAGACTTTCTCTCTAAACCGGATGGTTTTTGCATCTGCCTGCAACATCACAAGAAACTCAATTTCAATTATATGGAAAAAAATGGCGATATTAATGACAAAACAAATTCTAGAACCAAAATTAGAAGTGGACACCATAAGCAATCCCAATCCCACCCTATTAGAGAGAGCCAGTCACTGGAGATAATATCAATTCACAAGATGTATAGGCTGGCAGGAAAGATAGCTCTTATTCACCAGACTTTTGTAATATCCAGGATTATGTTTTTCGCTTCCCTTTGATTTGTTTGTAGTTAGCCAAGTAGCCAACATAACAGTCTCTATTTTGCTTAATAAACATTTGCTTGTAAAGACCAGAATATTTTAATTCTGAAACCTCATAAAGAAAAATTCTGATTGAATATAGAACATGAAACCAGAATAGGTATTATGCATTGCTCCATGAGTTTGAACTGTGGGAAACGAGGTCCAACAATAGACATGAAACTATAACTGGCCAGAAAAATAATTTAAAACAATTGTCATTTGCTTCCAAAAAGGTAACATAGTTCCTAAAGCAACTAATCTTCTAGATCTAAAACCATTCACAAAGATTGGAAACTTTCTCTTCCAAATACTCAGATTACCCCTGGGGTAAAAAAGGCTCAGGCTCTTCCAATATTTGTTTGACATTTCTAATATTAAAGAAAAGGAAGACGAATATACAAAACACTTATATAATAGCCATTTAAATAAGTTGAAATATCCGTTTTATAAAAATTAACAGGTCTGAACTTTTGCATGGTCTATACTTAATCTTAATTTATGTTGTAAAATATTATTAGACAAGACATGGTGGTGAATGTGACTGATGATTTCTTACTTAAGATATAGTGTTAATGTCCTCTTATGTGATTTCTTGTTTAATCTTTCATGTTTCTGAACTCTGGTTTTAAGATTGTTATATATAATTAATTTTTGGATACTATAAATATAGTAATGTTAATAAAATAACATTTTTTTTAAAAATATATTATTTATTATTAATTAAAATGTTAAAAATTAAAAAATTAAGTTAGTCTTACTTTTTATTTAATAAATCTTACTCATAATATGTATATACATATACATATACATAAATATATTAATCCTCTGACAAACTTGCCCTAATTAGGCACAGGGTGACGAAGGTTCCAATAAGCACCGGTAATTAAATTAAAGAGGCTGTGCGGTTTGGTTGACTAATTATAGCAACAACTTGGAATCAGAACTTAAATTATGGTAACTATCTTGTTTCATATAGCTTTCCTTTATAGAGTAGCTTTTAAAACAACAATATATTTTGATGTTAAGAGAACAAAGTCCACTGCTTGACCTCATGCAAATTTGATTTAACAAGTCCCAAATCCCTCCAAACACCATTATCCTTTTTCAATAAAAATAAGTAAAATATATGATAGTGCTCTAAAACCTCTACTTGCTTTGTGATCAAAAAGGTAAGTATCAAGTGGGAATGGTTTCACAACAACTCCACTCTCCCTTCTCCTATATCTGAACGTTGACCATTGTCACTCTATATAATCTACTACCATCAAGGTAATTTGCATCGCTGGGTCTTATCATTCATATTTTTGTTTCATTTCACCACACCTCTTAGAACACAAGCTTCTCTAAAATTTCAAAGTAAAACAATGTCAACCACTATTGATGTCCCAGAATCAAGCAATGTTGCTAAGGGAAAAGTAGTTTTAGGTGAACCCCAAAGGCCAGGAGGATGGAAAAAAGGGGTAGCCATAATGGATTTCATTCTAAGGTTAGGTGCCATAGCTGCTGCTCTTGGTGCTGCTGCCACTATGGGAACAAGTGATCAAACTCTCCCTTTCTTCACTCAGTTCTTTCAATTTGAAGCTAGCTATGATAGCTTTACTACTTTCCAGTACGTGACACTAAACGCTCTATATAAGTTGCTATAAATGTTCTCATAAACGTTCATCTTAATTTGCACTTTCACACTGAATCCAATGCTTACCATAATGCAGGTTTTTTGTTATTACAATGGCACTTGTTGCTGGCTATCTGGTCCTCTCCCTTCCTTTCTCTATAGTTACTATCATACGCCCTCATGCAGCTGGACCTAGGCTTTTCCTCATCATCTTAGACACAGTAATTATGATCCCTAAACCTTATATATAATAATTAGATTTAGTAAAGTCACTACTTATAATATAGCTAATTAGAATCTCAAAATAATATTGAAATAATAATTGTTATTTTAATTCATTTTGACCTCGTGATTAATTGGGCTACAGGTATTGTATTAATTTAAAATTTGGGGTTGGTTTCTTTAAAATGAAAGAGTGTTTTTTGGAAAATAATTGAAGTATAGTTAAAGTAATTGATTTAAAAATCAATGATTAAAATTGTGATAAAATACATTTAAATGTATAATAAATTATAAAGTTATTAAAATTTTAATTATTATTTTTTTAGTAATGCCTTGTAACTGTATTTTATCTTTTAAAGTGTTTAAAGGAACTAATTAAATTCATCACAAAAATTACTCCTTAATATATTGTTGATACTGTGATAAATTACTACTTATTAACTACCTGACACGGATCTTTTTACTAAGTGTTTAAACATTGTCATAATTTGAATAAAAAATTATCTATTTGTGTATGATATGTAGGTATTTCTGACTCTGGCCACTGCTAGTGGTGCTTCTGCTGCTGCCATTGTTTACTTGGCACACAACGGCAATCAAGATTCTAACTGGCTTGCCATATGCAATCAATTTGGAGATTTTTGCGCACAAACCAGTGGAGCAGTGGTGTCATCGTTCGTTGCTGTGGTTATCTTTGTGTTGCTGATTGTTATGTCTGCTTTGGCCCTTAGAAGAAATTAGAAAAGTAAGATGCAATCATGCAGGGGCTTAAGTTACCTGCATTATTATTGTGTTTGCTATATTCCTGAAGTTTTCTTTTGGTTGTAAGGTTAATTTCCTTTCATGAAGTACCGAAGTGTCAAAGTTGATTATTTGCATTGATTTGGGCAAATGTTTCGATGCAATATTATTTACTTCTAATATTATAAGTTTGAGATTATATGTTCAATTTTCTTGAGCCTCTTTCTCTACTTTTTTTTCCAGTAGTTTCCTTATTCTCAAGTATAGAAAACAAAAGTTGAAAATAAAATAACATTTTCGGGGGTTTCTAGCAATCTCCTACAAACAAAACAAAATTAAACGCATCATTATTAGAAAAATGTGAACATAACAATAATATTTTAAAAGAAAATCATAACGACACTGTAACAACAAAATTAGTTAAGAAAAAGAAAAAAAGAAAAGGATAAGTGTGTAAAATAGAATTAAATGATGAAATATTCAATAAATTGATTATTCCAACATGAGCAATATATTTACAAGATAAGATCCTATTGGATAAGCATTAGCAAAGACAAAATAAATAAAAGAATAAATAAAGAAATATTATTACAATATATAGCTAAAACTATCTAGAAGCTTCTGATATTTATAGCAAACATAACAGAAAAAATATTAAAAATATGCTGAAGGTTGAGGGATAAATTGGGCCAAAAAAGCATTAGACTTCTTCTGTTTTAATACGGATAATTAGTAATTTTTCATCTCATTTTTTTGGTTTAACTACATTGTCACGTCAATTAAAAATTACCAATAAAATAAAAATTAAAAAGTCTCGTCAATTAAAAGAAAATTATGTAAGAAAAAGGCCTTGTTAAGAAAGGTAATGCATTGACAACTTTTTTTATAAGGAATTAATTCATTACTTTCTAACATCTATCAACCGAAGATATCAATACACACAAGAAAAGAAGTTGTACTTTTCCTTCTTCTTCTTTTTTTTTTTTATTTGATCTTAATATATATACAAATCACTTGAGTTTTGATTAATCTGAGTTTAGCTCAATAGACTTTCTTCAGGGTGTAAAATTCTCTTAATGCTTACTTTTACATTCACAATACATGAATCCGATATCTTTTAAGAAAATCAAGTTCCCTATCACTTGAATCTACACACGGATATTGAGTTTTTTTAAATTGATATAGAGTGCTCTTTGAATATTAATTAAAGAAAAATATTAGTAATTTAGCCTATGAATATATGGAATAAACATTTATTTATTTTTACTGTCATTTAATTAAACTTAAATAATATTTATCATAACTTCGAATAAAATAATATTTTATTTGAATTCAAAGATAATGTCATAATTATAATAATATTTTGAATTCGTCTCAAAATAAAGTAGTATTAAAATTTAACGTCCTATAACAATAATGTTTATTAACTAATGTTATTTAAATATTTCTATCATAATTTTTAATAGTTTTATTTATTAGTTTTTAATTATTTCCTGTATGTACCGTTTAAATAAAAAGAGAAAATAAGAGGAAAGAAAATAAAAAGTAATATGAAAATAGAGTGATTTTGTAATACATAGGAAAACTGTTCAAAAGTTACAGTTAACATTATTTCAAACTTTCAAAATGATAGATTATAAAAAAATTAAAAAAAAAAAAAAAACTTTCTTTGAAAACTGATAAATGCTTTGGGTCGCATGGTCTGAATTTCACCGGGACTAAAAAGTGAGCTAAGTTAGTTTGGGACACCATAGAAAAAATTCAAATAGAAAACGAACACGCTTTCATTTGGTGCAAATAATATTTAAAAACACCATCCCATTGTTGTCATATACTTACTTCAGAAAAATGTGTAGAAAAGAAAGTTGATTAAGTAGAACTAAATATGTATACGTTGATTTCATGCAAATTGAGTTTAAAGAAAGAGATAGTCTAACCACATGATAATCATTTCCTTTAATATATCATATAACCAAAAAGCAATAGCAAATAAATTAAAGAAATTAAGCTGATCATGTAGTACTATGTGTTGTTCTGTTTGGCTGGATTTTTCTAGCACCCACTCTTCCCTGCCACTTTGAATGAAAAAATGAGTTTAATTAAAGATAACGACTCCCCTATCTTCCACTAAACTTATTCTATCATTGGCTACAATCCTGTAGTTGCATTGCATCGCAAGGTTCCTTATATCATTCACAGTATCATCTACATACTCTTCAGAGAGAGCACTACTTAGAGTATCTCCAAAAGGCAAATGATGTCTTAGAGTCAAGCAAGAATGCTAAAGGAAGAGCACTTCCAATTGTACCCACAAGAGCTAGGGCTGCTATTCATATCCAAGTTCGTTGAAAAATTTGAAAAGGAAAGAGGGAAAAATATTATAAATAAAAAAATTATATTTATTCATCACACTAGTATATATGTATTTCTTTAAGTGGACTAACAACTTAAGTAATTGTGCATTTGACTAAAGTTTATAATTTTATTAATTTAAAAATTGTAAGTGAGAAAATTTATAGTTTTTCTCTCCGCCCATCAAGAAAGGAAGTTAAATGATGGACTTTTTTTCTGAGATTAGGTAATTGTTACATCCGCTTTGGGTGCTGCTTCCACCATGGCAACTAGTGATGAGACACTCCAGTTCTTTCGGGCCAGCTATGGTAGTTTTTCCACTTTGATTGTTTCAATTTTAACTCTATTTAATTTAATTCTTTTTGTGGTTGTCTGAGTTGTGACATAGGATAAATAACTCCATTTTAAATGGAGTAATGAAGTTAAGACATTATACGAATAAAATAAAAGTTGTATAATGAGTTTTGGTTTGAATATAGCATAACTAACATTTATAATATTTTTGTGTTGATGACCCTAGCGATTTCTAGTGCAGCTGCCACTGTATTATGGAGCTTTGAGTATCCTTACTTCAGCTGTGTGTGCATCAATTACCAGATTTATTTTTTGAATTATTGCGGGGACTCGTGTTGTAATTAGTTGTTTGCATTTTCGGATCAACTTTGACTTTTGAACCAATTTGTATTTCAAATCTTGATCCTTTAATTAGATTTAAATATATCTTTTTACGTATTCATAAATTTTTGGTTATAGGCTCTCTTGCTAACATGAATAATGGGATATTATTATGTGCTATATTTTTATAGAATGATTTCAATAAAATAATTAAAACTAAAAGATTTATAAAAATATGGAAATTGAAATAAAAATTAAAAAAAATTAAAAATTATAAAAGTATAAGAAGTGTAAGTATTATACAATAAATAAGATATTAGAGAATAATTCTATAATATTTTAAAGAATACTTTAAAACATTTTAATGTGGAGTTACATGAATAATTCTCTAAATCAGATAAATTTAGAGAGCAATTCATATAACTACTCTCTAAAATATGAACAATAAATTTAAAATTTAAATTTTTTTTATGAGTTTCTTTTATAAATTAAAATTAATTTATTTATAAATTTTTTAATCACAAACTAAAATTAATTTTTGTTTTATTAAAATTTAAGTTTATATATTATATTAAATAACTAGTCTATATCTAAATGAATAAAATATTAAAAAAATTAAATTAAAAAATTATTATTAATAAAAAATATACGTATAATTATAAAAGAAACTAACTTTTTGTGAGTAATTAATTATTCTCTAAAATAATTTTAAAAGAACATTATATGATTACACTGTAAAAATAACTTATTTAAAAAAATAAAAAATAACATAATATATATTAAGCTATAATTAATTTATTACTTACATCTTTTCTCTTCTTTCTCTGGCTAGTATAAATGAATTAAATAAAAATCTACTAAAATTAAAAGAATTAAAATGTTTTTAAAATATTTTTTTTTAATTATAAAAGTTGGATTCTTTAATTTCTATTAGCAGTGAAAGAAATTTTTTTCTTGACCAAAATAAGTTTAGTAAGAGGATACAAATATTCATAAAGGAATCTAAACTAACATTAAAAAAATACTTAAAAAAATTTAATTAATTAATTAAGTGAAGTCAAAATTAAAAAAGAAAAACTTAAATTATTTAATTTTATTTATTCATTCAAAAGATTTTGTTTTAGCTTTATAATAAGTATTAGAATCTATGTGGAAAGTTATTAAGTCTTTTCTTGAATAAATTTACATGAAGTGGTAATTAATATATATATATATATATATATATATATATATATATAATATAATATTAGTATAAACTTTAGAGGGTGGGGTGACATTGTTATTCTTGCATGAGTGAGTAGTCTCCAAAATTTAATTTATCCGCTAACCACTCTTAAATATTAGAATGGATTTAGTAACATAAATTCATAAAGCGTTTTTAGTTTTTTTAATAAATTAATAAAGTTATTAGATAAACAAAGAATAAAAGAGCTTAATTTTTAAAAATTGATTTATAACAAAAATAGTTCAAATAATATTTTACATATTAAAATTTATTTTTTAATATTTTTTATTTTCATCTTTAATTTAAAAAATTATTTTCATAAAAAAATATTATTATTATTTAAGTTATACAGCATATTTTAATTAATTGTATGACTAATTTTATTGAAATATATTTAATTCAATTGGCTAAATGAATTAGTACGATGTTATTCTATTTTAATCTATAATCTTAAATTCAAAAAAACATTTTGGTAAAAAAAAAAAGGATAAATTTAATTCAATCAATTAGTCATACTCTATAAACTTTAAATTACAAATTATAAATTATCAACTAACTTATTACTTACAAACTACAAATATCAACTTTAAAATAATTTTATCAAACAAAACTTTAAAAAACTGATTTAGTTAAATTTTCTTAGTTTTCACGATGTTAAGAGTACACTTTGTCTTCTTCTTTTCCAGTGTATGAATACATCTTATAAAGAAAACAGTTGCAATTAAATATAAGGGTTAACGTGTATATGAATATTTTTAAAATAAAAAATTATTTTTAAAAAAAGAAACAAACATGTTCTAAATAGTTATTATTATTATAATTTTAAATAATAGATATATTTTGTGTTGAATTTTTGCTTTAATGCAGATAAATCTTTGTCCAATAGCTAAGGACATATTATTTTGTCATTTGAAAAAAAAAACTGATGTTACTCATAAACTATAGAAATTTTTTCATTCTTATACAATCCTTTAAGCACAATTCATAATTCCATATTATAATAATTCCTTTTAACTATGTATGTTTTTCATTTATTTTTTTAATTATATATATATATAGCTTTATTTAATTTAAAAATCATAATAATTATACTATTTGAGTATTTCTTATGTATGATAATGGGGATGTAAATCTTATTAATAGAAAATAAATTATCAATATGAATGAGAATGAAATATAAAGTTATATGAAATATTAATATTTACATCATAAGAGATAAACATTTAAAACAAAATAAATATTTTCAAAATGGAAAAGATGAATCATCATTGAGCAGTATGGTAATAAGAATTAAAAATGTCTTTATATTTTTCATTATTTATTGTTTTTGATTGATCCAGCTGAGTACGACCAGACTCTCCCTAATTAAATTTTGAAGAAATTGGAGAATGACACGGATACTTTTGAGCTTGAATATGATATGCCAACCATTCCAGATTTCATCTGTTGCATCGACCCATACCCTTAATACCTCTTCCCAATTGGAAGAGACGAGATAAGAAGGGACTTCATTAAATGATGATGTTCACACGAAGATCGATCTACGCAACTTCACAAACTTGCAACCCAGTTTTTGCTCATTAATTACTTTTCCTTTTCCGTTGCCATTTCGCTGGGAAGAGATCGTACGTGACTATTGCTTCTTGTTACAACTAACAACTGTATGCTATTTAACTTGCACTTCTTCTGTGTTACATCTTTGACGCAGCTCAAATAGAACAAATAAAGTTAAAACAGAATAACAAATATTTAATATTTAGATAAGTTCAAATATTCTTTTTTATTTGGATCAGACAAATTAAAGAAAATAAATAAATTATATAAAAAATTAATTTTCATACAATATTTTCTCGGTAAATTTTTTTTAATACTTTTAAAAAAATGAAAAAAAAAAAAACTCCCTGCTTGTTGGTCCCCCTCCTTCTCTCTTTCTCATGTCTGCTTCATTTCGTTAGGATTTAAGGTTTTATTTTTGTGGTGGGACTCACGCAAAGAAAATCCTCTTCTTATTCTCATCTAAATTTAAAAAAAAATATTATTTTCTTTCTTACCCCTTATTTTTCTTACATCCAAACATATCCTCAATGTGGTCTCTCATTAATTATTACTTTATGCACACACTTTAAAAATTAATTAATTTAATCAGTTATTATGATAACAAAAATTAATTTTATTAAAATATTTCTATTAAAAGTGGTAAAATGTTGCAGTAATTAATTATTTATTAATCTTAAAATTATTTAATTGATAATTGGTAAAAATATTTTTAATAAATAAGGATATTATTTTAAAATAAATACTTTAAAACAATAAATCATATAAAAAGTATTTAAATAATAACTAATATAAAATAAATAAGTACTTGGAAAATGCTAATAAGCTCAAAAAATTAAAATTAATTTTTCATCAAAAATCATAATAAATACATTTTCATAATTTTTAATGTAATTCAACGTAAATTTCAACAAAAATTTATCATTTTTAATTTCTTAACAAGACCCGTCTTGTCTTAACAAATTATATATAATGAATTTAATTTAAATACGTTAATTTAACACTATTACTCAATAATATATTATCATATTAGTAAAAAATAGTTAATTTTTATAATAATATAAAAATTATATCTATAGTGTATTCTAATCATAAAATCTTTACATTATAATATGTAAAATGTATTTTTTAATTTTTATTACTTCATGTCAATACAAAACATAAATTTAGTATTAATATGGATTAAGTTGTATTCTCCTAACTTTCTAGGGGTTCTAAAATGATTTTATCAAAGTTAAAATATCTATGTTTTGCCAACAAAATATCCTAACAGACGTACAAACAGTTCCAGTGTATAAAGATATTCTTCAAACAATTATTGGCACTTTTTTTTCCACCCTGGTAATCATTATCCACTTTGGAAGGGAGAAGATAGAGGAGAAAAGAAAAGAAGATATATTTTTAAAATTTAAATTAAAAATTATATATTATTTATAATAATAAATACATATTTAATATATTAAATTATTTTTTATTTTTAAAAATATTAATTTTAAAAATATAAAATATTTTTTTAAACTTGTCTTTAAATTTTCTTTTTCAAAAAGCCTTTAAGTTTTGTTTGAAAAAAAATGATTTAAATATTTTTTTTTCGTTAAGTATAATAAAAAACATTTAAATTTTTTTATTTTTTATTTTAAAAAAAATTATGCTCTCATTTTCTATCCATTTTACTAAATAAAGAGTTAAATATATGACTAAAAATTTGAAAAAAATGATCAATTGTAACTCGCCAAAGGGGAAGTGAATTGAAAAAGACAAAAAGAAAATAAATTTTGTTCTGTGTGCTTGTAATATAAAATGGACATATTTTGTTCTGACTTTTTAAAATTTAATAAAATTTTATTTTACATTAGTTTACTTTTTACATTATTTTAACTTTGACTTATATAACTGCATAAAAAATAATTTGTGTAATAAAAAATATATAATATTATATTATTATATAAAATTTTAAAAAAAAAACGCATGGTGTGAGTGTAATTTGTCCAAACGTTTAATATGTTATACTAAATATTTTTAATACAGCAGACACTGTTTTACTAAATACATTTCACTTACTTTGAATACAATTTTCACAGAAAAAAAAGAACTCCAACAAATACACAGTTATCACTTTGACATTTTGATCCACGTGGTCCAGCTTGCATGATTTTTAATTTTCAAACGAGTGGAAGAATGGTAAGATAATGGAACTGTCAGTGACTGAATGGCTACTTCCATCTGAACAAAAGAAAAAGAGCAGAAAACGTAGAGAACAGGGCAAGACCAACACACAGCATGTCCAATCTCCCTTCTGCCCTCACTTTCCTTTCCATTCTTTCTTTCTTCTTCCTAACAAAAGCCCTGTAATCACAGCCCTCTTCCTTCTTCTTCCTTTTCCTCTCACCTTCCAACGCCCTCAGCAAAATTACCAAACAATCCCTCCCATTCATTTGCATCCCATCCATGTCCTCCATCTGCAAACTCACCTCCCTCACTTGCATTTCCTCTCCCCACGTCACGGTCACGCTACACAGCACCACCTCTCTCGCTGTCCCTCGCTCGCCGTCAACCACCGTCGCGAACCGCACCTCCACCTCACCGCTCAGCCAGTGCTTATTCACCGACACAGCGTTAAAACTCGACACGTTCACGGCACGGCGCACCGTTGGGTCGATCACGATCCAGCTCAGCTTCAGCTCCTCTCCGAGATTCTTACACGTATCCTCGTCAACCGGATATTTAAGTCTGGTCCGAACAACGTCCTTGGGGTCAACCAGGTCGATTCGGAAAGGGGAGCACCGGAACCACCCGGTTCCGGTTTCGGTCTCGACCACTTTGGAGAAAAGAAGGCGGTCACCGTGGAAGAGATCAACGGCTGAGATGAGTTGTGGCGTGCGGTGGGGTTTTGTTGTCGGGGCGGTTGGGGAAGGCCGCGAAGAGGGGAAAGAATCGGCGAAGAAAGAGCGAGGACCGTTGGGGAAGGTGGAGATGACGTGGTGGACACGTGGCGAGATGGTGGAGGGCCATGTGGAGTGGCAGGCGTTGGCCCAGAGGTTGTTGTCGGCAGAGAGAGTGTGGAGTTCGGAGGATGTGGTCGCCGCGGAGGCCAGGGTGGGGCCATCTAGGCGCGTGAGGATGTGGGTTTGGATTATGTCGGGGTGGACGTCGGAGATTGAGGTGGCACCGCCACGGTCTCCGGTCGCCGCTTCCGTTGGCTCGTCGGATGTGCTGGTCATGGCAAGGCTAGTTCAGTAGGTTTAGGTGTTGGTGCACGAGGAATGGTATTTATAGACACGTGGAGAGAGGATGGATCTTGGAGGAATAAAATGGAGACTATTTCCTTCGTGACTTTTTTTTTTTTTTTTAAAAGTTTTGCCTTTGATAAAAATATTTATTTTAATTTATTTTTTGACTTATTAAAAAATTATTATATTAGTAAGTTATTAGGAAAAATTATTAATAATTAACAAATTTAACATGCTAATAATCGTTATTGAAAATTAGACGATACACGCAGAGATTTAGAGCAAAGAAGATAGATTTGACAATTTTAAATTTTTTTAAAAAGATAAATTTTACTGTAATTTTTTAATAATATATGTGTTATTAAATGTATTAAGATAAAATTTCATATCACAATGTATAAAAACAACTATGTTAGTATGAACAAATTAGCTGGTGTATATTAAATGTAAAATATTTATTTTAAATAAAATAAAATAATAAAAATAAAAATACTTTACTGATTTTTGTAAGAATTATAATCCTATAATTTGATTCAAAAATTATTTCATTTTAAAAAAATTCTTTATACCAATCAGAAGCCAGTTTCAATACTTTCTTCACACACTGTTTTTAAAATTAAAATTATTTAAGAATTATATAACTATGTTAATATTAATCTTGCAGACTTGAGAGTGGCTAAAGAGATATTTCAAGGAAACGTCGTTTTTAATTAGAAAACAGCAGTAGCAACGTTGTAGCAGGTAGAATATGACCTAAGCGAATCAAGTGGCTCCGTCTAATTTCGTCTAATCCAAAGCGAAATTGATGGCTGACACTGTTCATTGTGTCACTTTGGTTGAACGTGTGAGATGTTCTTTTATATAATAGATTAATTAAAAATTAAAAGCAAACTTTATTTTACTTATTAGGTCTGTTTTATTTTTTTTACTTAAATATGTTATTATTTTCATAGTAAATTTTTATTTTAGTCATTTAAATAATTTTTATTTTTTATGAATTTTTATTCTTGATCTCTAATATTATTGTAGTCAAATAAAAATTGACTCTTATCTCATCAGATCTAAAGCTAAATTAAAAAAAAAATTTACAAAAAAAAATGAATTAAAATAATTTTTTTTTGTAAGAAATAAAATAAAAAATTTATTAAAATGTAAAAAAAAATATATTTAAATTTATCTTTTATAAATCACATATATTCTTTGGAAATTTAATTTTGTTCAAGTAAAGTTATTTTAAATAATAAAACTCTCTTTTTAAATATTTAATAGAGTTATATTTATTAAACTTTAATTTCACATTACATATTAAACTGGAACAGTTTGATAAATAAAATAAATTTAACCTTTAGTATAGTTAAAAGTTTAATTATAATCCTAAGTTTAACTAACCTATTCCAGAAACATGACCTAAGTTTCTATTAAGTTGTTAAAATCACATTTTAACATCACAAGTAACGAGTGAATCTAATGACTCATTATTGTTAGTTAAGTAATAAAAATATAACTACAACTTGATATAAAATCTATCATTGACTAGTGTTATTATGTGATCTAGTTCCTTTGTCTATACATTAAATAAATAAAGATAATAGCTAATATTTGTGTAATTAACATAAAAAGAATGTTAAAAGTAATAAAATCTCAAAACTCTCGGAAGATTCATGTGAAGGTCATAAATTATATTGGGAATATATTATTCTTAGATGAAGAAGCTTATGAGGCAACAAGTGTGTGTAAGATTGGACATGGATTGACTTGACATAAGATTAATTTAAATTTATTTTAAAATTAATTACATAGATTGAATTTCAAATTAATTTTTGATTTTTTTATTTTAAAATTTAGTTTTGATTTATTAATAATTGTAAATCTGGTTTTAGTTCAAACTAATGTTAAACATGGTTTTTTTAAAATAAATTTAGCTTTAAATTAAATTTTATAAAAAATATAATATAAATTTTATACATATATATAACTAGCTTTCTATTTATTTATTTTACTCAAAACCATTTTTTAATCCAAATTCTTAACTAAATCAATTTTAATTCACAATCATTATTCAAATAAGGTGAAACAAACAATATTATTGCATTTCAACATATTTTTCTACATATATAAATTTGGAAGTTAATAATAATAATAATAATCACAGTGATAATGAGAAAAAGACGAAGATAACGAGGAAGGGAAGTTTGGTGAGAAGAAAAAGCGAACAAAAAGAGAGAAAGAAGCGGGAGCATTTATTGTATTGTGCATAAAACAACGTGGCTTCTTTCCATGTTAAAGAATATGAGCCTTTTTGGTGCTTGTGCTAGGATTCCAATGATGCATCCAACTCTTCCACACCATTTTATTTATGTACTGATTTTTTGGTAACCTTGGTTACATAATACAACAGCAACTAACCCCGAGGAAGATACGATTACCAAGAAAGAATAGAACATGTTCGAATTTGGATGAAAAGAAGAAAATTTTGGTTTTGATAAATGGTTTGCAAAACAAATCTAATAAAGTAAACTTATATATCTGGTTGTATTAATTAATTGAATTTTAAAAATAGTTTCATTCTATCAAATGGCACCCATTAGTAAGAAGATCATAAAAATCCTACGTATAGCCATTCCATGTGATTTGTTAAGTGTCCAATAATCACCTTTAAAGTTATTAAGGTTAAATTTGATGGCTTTAAAATATATAATTAACCACAATGACATTAGGTGAAAAAAATCACTCTACAATTTCCATTGTAAAAATAACTGATGAATCTCATGTGATGATGTATATAATATTCTCATAACTGTTAGTTTAGTACGTTATTAATCATTTAGTATGTACACATATAATAAACTTTATATCTTTTATGGCTATAAATAATAAAAGGTAAACAAATGAAAGTGTTTGATATATATACATATATCACTAAAAATTATTTTTTTATGTGTTTCTTTATATTTTGGGTGTATTTTTAAGTTGTGTGTATAAAAAATAAATAACAAAGAAGTAAAAAAAATAAAAATAATAGTCTATGATATCACATATAATGTCGATTTTAAGTTAATAATTATTAGTTATTTCTAGTAATTATTTTTATAAATAAAAAAATCTTGAACACCCAATAATAATATTGCCCATTATTATCAATTGACAAATTCTACATATAATTACTTTTACTGATTATTTATGCTACACATTTTTGTATTTTTCTCCAAATTTACTTAATTTTCTAGTTATTTCTCCCCTCTCCTCCTTATCTTCATGTCATGTGGATAGTCTTAATTTATTTTCAAATTTAAAGATATTCAGTGTTAGCAAAAGAAATTAAAATATAGTATTAAACTATTGCGAAAGATTATACTCTTTTTCAATTACATTACTTATAACATAGTTAATCTAATTAAGAGTAAATTATTTTTATTTTAAGTAATAATTTTTTAACAATAGTAATCATTCTAAGTATTGTCTATTATGAATAAAATTTTAAGTTTTAAAACAATGCTAAATAATTTTATACTCTAGAAAGTTAGAAAATTAATAATTTATATTTACTCAATACCATGTTCGGAAATTTTTAAATACAATCCTATATCAGTCCAATTATATACCACTCTCAATATATTATGATCTTTATTAATAAAATTTGACAAAAAAAAGTATAACACATGTTGTATAATATCTAATAAGATTTCGTAAGTCATATTCAGTATTTTGTGATATCTAAGAAACAATTCTAATAATTTTTTTTATATTAATCAAGTAGTTGAATAAATAAATGACAGAATAATATAATGATAATTTTTTTTTGTTAATTTGTAACAATTAATTTTGTAACATATATCTTAATATAAACGTATTAAGTATCAAATATCTGTATAATAAAAATGATATTTTCAGAATTTACAAAGCTATTTAATGAAAATACTTTGAAATATATAATATCCCCGTTTAATTTCGTTTACAGATCGAAAAAATTTAAGTCTAATCTGATTATTGCTGTGGCCTGTGCCGTTAACACCTGTACTTTTACAACTTTTTCTTTTGATTATCATTATCATCGTGCACACGAGGCACACGATCATTATAAATAAATAGAAATATCACCCAACACATGGATAAAATAATGGTTTCATTGAACGCAGCCCTGCGAAGGCTGTGATAGTGTATATCACTAGGCAGAGGAGATAAGTGCCATGGATCTCACATTATTAATTAATTGAATTATTTAGTATTTTAATTAATAAATATTAATAAAGTTATGCAAGTGATAATTGTTACTTTTTTCAATAAACCCTTTTTAGTTTATTTTTTTTATTCTCAATTAACAAATAAATTTGCACTGTATTAATTTAATTTTGATGAACCAAATAAAATTAAACTATCGATTTCAAGTTTAATTCAAATTTATTAGTTAATTTATTTACTATTTAAATAAAAATTTAATATATATTTTTATATACATTAAAAATGAATCATTGAAGTGAGTAATTCATATTAATTTTAGAAATTTAATGGTAGAAAATCAACTAATTAAATTTTATAGTTTAAAATTTTGGAAAAATAAAAATAATAAATTGTACCAAAATATTATATAATTTTTAAGTATATGTATGTGCTGCTTAAAGAATATTATTAATAATACGTGTAATAATAATTGCTATTGTAGAAAAAAGATTTGCAAAATCATCATTACTAATATTATTTAACAATGTTACAAGATAGGTATATTATGCATTGAAAGTAAAATAATAAAATTACTTGATTATAAAACTTTTATAAATGATTTTTCAATTTTAAAAGTTAAAAAATAAAATAAAATTGTAATATATATGACAATTTTTGGCTTCGAAATTTTTAAACACGGTTTAGAATTAGCTTTAAACATTTAAAACATTAAAAATAAGGAAAATAATAATACATATTTCAGTTAGTACATAATATTTAAAATTATTTTGAAATAGAAACTTCAATAAACTTATTATCCTTATAAAAATTAATACATTTAGAAATAGTTTAAAAATGTTTGTTTGGGTCTATCTGTTAACAAGCTAAGCTGGTATATAATTAGTTATTGTTATTAATATTTGTTAGTTAAGT